AAAAAGTAATAAAAAACAGAAATAAAACTTTTACCAAGATTTATCCTGCGACTGGAGCAAGTCAGAGAGTCCGTAATCCGTTAGTCGATCAAACCAGCTCCATATGAATTACAATGTCCGGGTACTCAATTTAAGGGGATATGGACGTAGGCGGGACGTTAGTCTTCGGCCAATTGACCCTGGGGGGTGTTCCTGTACCCGCCCACAGGATGTTCTGGGTGCTCAACTGCCCAAGTTCAATCGGACCAAGACCAGCTTAAATCACCAAGTCGGGGATTGGATTTCCGACACCAGCGCATCAGTCCGATTGCGACAGTACCAATCTCTGTTCCGCTATCGCACTCCAGCACCACATAACCATTTCCTGCATTTTCTGGCATTCTACCTAATCCACAAATATAGTTTTTATATGCCGATGTAGCATTCAGAGTGCCCCATCAGAAGAAAGTATTTTCATCTCCCTGCAACTAATATTTTAGCTTTTATGAGGGATGAAACATACTCCTTTGATCCCCTGATATACTTCAAAGCTCTGGTCTCCCGCTGTCATGAAGCCAACCTGTCTCCAGACGTTTCCTTCCCGGTTTCCCCAAAAGGCGACAAAATCTTATTAGCACGCAGGTGCCACTTTCAGAGGAAGCTAGTCCCTTCAGATGCTAATTGATGACCATCTGTCTCTGAATACCTTATTTCTTTAATGACAAGGACTGAAACTACATTTAGGATTACATATTGCTACAGGTCACCTCTCACCTACTCAAAATCTGTACATTTTGTCACACCGCCATACTCTGTATTGTAATTTGTATCTTTTTTTAAGATTGTAACTATAAAAATCATTTTTCTTTTAAATTGCCGAATTGTTAGCTTACCATTTGATAAATGTGTGCCTTAAAAGTCCCATCAATAAGAGGGCTTCTCCATTGTACTTTCCAGGGAATGATGGCACCTCTTGTATTCACACCCCTTCCCTTTCTTATTGCTTTGGTCTGTTCTGTGTTTCAGTGGCTGCAAGTTTGACTTTGGTTATCCAGAAAGCTCTGGAAGTTAGTGGGCAGGAAGAGTCTAATCAGCAGCTGAATATTCATACAGCTGTGGCCAATCCCTGGGGAACTTCTCCCCGATGGTGACTGGGAGACTGAGAACAGCTTGGTCTTGTTCCCTGAGAAGGAAATCAAAGCCTAGGGGGCTGCTAGCACCCTAGGCCATTCTGCCATGTGCCTGCATGGTGTCGAGGACTTCGGTTGGCAACCTGGAGGCCTGATTGCTGAAAGCTGGCAGAAGGACTGTTGTCTAAGGATCTAGTCTGGTATCAAAGGGTGGAAATGTTGTGAACATATTGGAAGGAGGCAATCAATTTTTCCAAAGATATCTGTGAATGCAAACCGGTGAGAGAGACCCTAGAGATTTTAAGCTGAGGCCATCCCTTGTGTATTAAGAGTCAGCAGATACAATGGAGACATTGTGTCCTAAAGAGCTTAGTCTACTTAAATATTTGTGAAAGGACTTAGCTTGCTCTGTCCAGAAAGAAGAAGATCATTCTACTAAAGTTACTGTTTCAGAGCCCAGTCCACTCTACTTCTACAAAGGGCCTGGAGGCCTGATGGCTGAAAGCTGGCCGAAGGACGGTTATCTAAGGATCTAGTCTGGTATCAAAGGGTGGAAGTGTCGTGAACATATTGGAAGCAGACAACCAATTTTTCCAAAGATGTCTGTGAATGCAAACCAGTGAGATCCTAGAGATAGTAAGCTGAGGCCATCCCTTGTGTGTTAGAGTCAGTGGATACGAAGGAGACCATGCATCCTGAAGAGCTTAGTCTACTTAATTCTCTGTGAATGGACATAGCTTGGTCTGTCCAGAAAGAAGATAATTCTACTAAAGTTACGGTTTCAGAGCCCAGTCCACTCTTTACTTTCACAAAGGGCCTGGAGGCCTGATGGCTGAAAGCTGGCCGAAGGACTGTTATCTAAGGATCTAGTCTGGTATCAAAGGGTGGAAGTGTCGTGAACATATTGGAAGGAGACAATCAATTTTTCCAAAGATATTTGTGAATGCAAACCGGTGAGACCTCCTCTGTAACTTTACACTGCTAACCTGTAGAAATTTTTAAAGCATCACCCTTGGAGGATTTTAAGTACCGCAGTTTCACGTCATTCCACGAGCATGAGCAATTTTAAAGCGTGACATGTTGGGTATCTATTTACTCGCCGTAACATCCTCTTTCATATTTTACTAAAAATTTGGGGTATATATTGTTTTTTTTTTTTTTTAATCAAAGTATTTTTTTTCCCAAGAAATATATATTCATTTTTAGAAACTGTGCATTTCGGTTTTGGACCAAGTGCATTTTTCATTTTTGTTTTTGGCACCAGAATTTTCATTTCGGTGCACCACTAATTTTTATTGCTGTCTGTTCCCCCGTTGAGGAGATTCCCCTCTCTATTTGTCTGCTTAGCATTGTTATTGAAAGTGAAACACCCAAATTTTGAGTTGTCCCCAAAAAAGTAATAGGGAGGAAATCTTCCAATGGGGACTTGAGGAATTCCCTTCATTTGCAGGGATTTCCTCACTTCCTGTTTGGGACAGGAAGTGAAGGGAAATCTCTTCAATGGGACACAGAAGGCAAAAAAAAAAAAAAAAAAATCTGACCGGGGTTATAACCTTCCCTTACGCTACCCAAAATAAAACGTTTTGCCTATAGTTCTACTTTAAGCTCCAATCCCGTAGTGCTGCCATGTATGACCGTCCCAAACGCCAACATTTTACATATGAAATCATTCACTTAAGAATGTTCAAAAGCAGCACACAATTACAAAGACATTCATTTCTGTTATCTTAGAACACCTTAAAACCTTTACCAACCTCCAGACTCCTAAATACCTCGTTGTAGGACAAGGAGATCAATTGTCTCTATGTTCCACGGCAAGAGAGTCCAAGGATCCAGAGAGCAACAATTTGTTTTAATAACACAATTCTGAAAAAAGAAATCTAGAAGGTGAACCTATTATATAAAGAACCCAACATTAGCATATAAGCACTTAGAAAGGAAATGTGTTCCTTAGTAAAGCATAGAATAACTATTTTCCTTCCAAGGTTCTGGGACCGGAGGGGCTGAACGGTGGTTCTACTAATGGTCCAAACTGACCCATCATTATATCCAACCATTGATCAATTGGGCAGCACAGTGGCAAAGTGGTTAGCACTTTTGCCTGGCAGTACTGGGGTTATTGGTTCAAATCCCAACCACAGCACCACCTGCCTGGAGTTTGCATGTTCTCCCTGTGCATTCATGGGTTTCCTCCCACACTCCAAAGACATGCTGATAGGTTAATTGGTTCCGGTCTAAAAATTGTCCCTAGTATGTGTATGTATGGATGTGAGTTAAGGACCTTAGATTGTACACTCCTCGGGGGCGGGGACTGATGTGAATGTTATATATATATGTAAAGCGCTGCGTAAATTGACGGCACTATATAAGTACCTGTAATAAATAAATTACCATGTTTCCCCCTCCCCCCCCCCCCCCACCTGTCCACAATACCACGCACACAAAACACGGCCAGAATAAATCGCTCAACACGGATATCTGTTTATCATTTACATGTTTATTATGGAAAGAAAAGAACATTGACAGATAATCAATCCCCGCCCCCTGTACAGCATAACCAATAGGAACAAGGCTAGCACTGGCTGTGTTAATAGTGACAGTTATTACAGCCAATCAGAGTAAGGGGGAGGAGCAATCACAGATAAATGGATTTGTCACACAAGGCATCTATGAAGACATTAGGAATGATCATTGTGGATACTAAAATGTTTGTTCAGATAAAACCTATGTTTCTAGTTTTGAATGTAGAGGGTGCGTGGTGGTGGGAGGGTGCGCAAGGGGGAGTATTAGAATCCCTGCCAGGATTTTACTACAATCTGCAGGTCCATTACAGAGATGTCCCCTCAATTCCTGCCCTAGTGACATTTTTTTTCCCTAGACAGGGGTTCTAGCCTTCCCCTATTCTAATAAAGAAAATCTTTTATCCGGTCTATCGGTCTGTTTTGCTGTCAGATTTCCCCTCACTTCCTGTCTGGTAAATTGTTGTCAGGACAGGAAGTAAATGGAAATTTCTCTGGCTGAGTCCCGGATAACAGTACAAAAGGTTCTAATACATCTCCAATTGATAAAAAATTGAAAACACACGTTGGCTATAGATACGTTATAAAGGTGCAGGCTCCGGGGCTAACCCCAATCCTCACTAAACTACCTCATGTTTCACTGACCCGGAACAAGCATGCAGCCAGTGAAGCTGAAATAATCTGACCTCCTGCATGCTTGTTCCTGGTCAGTGACACACTAGGTGGTAAAATTTAGGATGAAGATGATGGCCCCGGAGCTGTCATCAGGAATGGTGGTTCTTGTCCACTGCTTCCTCCTATCGGCTGGGTATTTCACCAGATTCTCCATCCTGTGAGGTCACCAGTCTCTGGGCGGTTTTCTCACATTGGATTCCTCTCCACATATCTTTATACAGGAATCATTTCCTACACGTAACCCGGCATGGAGGGGCTCGGTGAAGGTGGTGGTGATGGTGTGGAGGTGTCGGATCGGGTCACACAGATCATAGAAGGAGATCCGCCCGGCCTCATAATCCAGATATATCCTGAATCTGTTACTGAAGACACCGCCGGGTAATGGGATCTGATTATTGTCATGCAGCACCGAGTACTGATTACACCTCCTCCTCACCAAACACCAGGACTTCTCATTATATCCAAACCCTGAATGATATCCTCTCCTGTCTATACTGGGGTAACACATCCCAACTCTCCAGACCTGTGACCGTCCGACATCCACTTCCCAGCAATGTCTCCCCGAGGAGAAGCTCTGAATGCTTAACACCTGAGAACTCCGAAAATTCTCTGGTGTTTCTGCGTAAGTTGAATGTATTGACTTGGACACAGTTTTCTTGTCGTATGATACAAGTAGACGATTACCGGCTGTCCTCACATCCAGTAATATGTCTGTAACCCCCGACACCCCCCATGTTTGCTGTACAGCCCCAATATTTGGTCCTCCAGTGGAGGAGGGTTGGGGGTCTGGCCTGGATGGTGGAGCATTGATGGGACCTTTGCCCTTTGTAGTAGAATGTGGAGAGACATGTGTGCCTGTACATTTCTGTACATTGACCCCAGACATGATATCAGATAAACCCATGTGTAATGTGTGTGAGATCCCCGCCACATCCAGGTCCCCTCCATAATGGAGGAGGTTCTCATGTCTCTCTCTGTCATCTCTATCCTCAGTATCACACAAGTCACCTGTGTCTGATTCCTGTAGGACAGTCAGTGGATCAGTCATGTTAGACAGCTTCTCAATGTGCCCCATCTTCCCGGACAGCTCCTCCTTCTTTATTTCCAGATCCCGGATCATATCAGACAGCGATCGAGAGGTCCGCTCTGCCTGCCCGAAGATCTCACTCAGGACTCTCTTCTCCAGGTCTTCCAGATGTCTCCTGAGGTCTCTGAACAGGGCAGTGACTTTCTTAGTTTCATCATCTGCTTCTCCTTGTACTTTCCTCATGCATTCCTGCAGACTCTGGACTCTCTTCTCCGTCTTCTCTCTCTCTGTCATCAATTTCTGCAGAACATTCCTCAGTTTCTTCTTTTTCTTCTCATAGGCCTCCTCCAGAGTCTCCACCTGGTGTCCCCAATGTTCTCCAGTCAAACCGCAGGACACACAGATACATGTGGAGTCCTCAGTGCAGTAATACTTCAGTAGTTCCTTATGGATGGAGCATTTCCTGTCCTCCAGGGAAGTGGTGGGGTCACATAGGACGTGTTCTGGTGACTTGCTGTGGACTCTCAGGTGGTTGTCACACAGAGAAGCTTCACACATCAGACAGGATTTCACAGCCGGTACAGGAGTGTGAATACAGTAAGTACAGAAGACCCCGGTTGACTCCTGATTTCGCTGAGCAGACATGAAATTCTCCACTATATTACGTAGTGTTATGTTCCTCCGCAGTGCAGGCCGCTCCTGGAATTCATCTCTGCATTCAGGACAGGAATACCATCCAGACCCCTCCTGTGTATCCAACATACGACCAATACAGTCCTGGCAGAAGTTGTGTCCACATTTCAGGGTTACAGGATCTGTATAAATGTCCAGACAGATGGAACATTCCAGCTCATTCCACAGGTCAGCAGACGCCATCTCTGAAAGAGAAGAGAGAAAAGTTGAAAGTATCTGACACTCATTAAAGCTGAGCTCTAGGAATTCAGCCACTCTGTAAAGTGTGTCAGATTACTAGGGGGGGTTGAGTCCAATGGGATGCTTGCCACCTTGTGGACTTGCTTCTGTTATTTACAACTAAGGCCAACCATAGATGGAGCAAATTTTTTAAATCTGGAACGCTGGTTGTACCCAAGTTGCTTATTCGACCAACTCTGGTACATTCAGCCCATACTGCACATGGTTCAAATCTCAGCCAGTTCCAGCTGAACAAGCCAAGATTTGAAACGTCGAGGAGAAGTTGTCTTCTAATATAGCGGTCGCTCTGACACAATTTGGGTGTCGTCAGTCAGAAAATGTCCCTTCCAGTACTGAGGGGATGTATTGTAGTATGGGTATCAGAACCCACTGAGCACCCCCTCCTAATCCCCATTATGTGTTATAGCAGTGAGGGGAGTCATGTACTGACACAACGGTAGACAAAGTTCTTGAGTGATAAGACGAGCATGGGCTTGAGGTGAGTCCAATTATTTTGCGGTTTGTGGAAACTGCAAACTAAGGTGGCCACTTGCTTGCAGCCATAGCAACCAATGACTGATGATCTTTTCCAATAGCAAAGAGCATAACGTTTGATTGGACCCTGAGTGCGACCTGAGCGCTAGCCATTTGCAGTTGGGATAAATGGCAAACTGTTCCCTGTCATAGCAACAAATTACCAAACATGCAGTTACTGGCCTTTAAACTTTCATCAGGTGGCTTAGAATTGGTCAACAATTGGAGGTTTTTTTTAATGGGCAGCCACTCCCTATAAAAGTCAGGGTCCCCGGAAGTCTATTGTGAGTATGCGTGAAGTCTTGGAGTACAGCAGACAGAGCATTTTTACGTGAGAGATGCTGCTATACACAGAACTATATGGTGTTGTATTGTCTACATTAGAGTGCACTGTGCTGTGCCGAGCTACATAGTGTGCAGTTTACCGCCCCCCATATTCACTGTACTGTACTGTTTGAGCTACATTACTGTGAATTACATTGTTGGTAGGTTGCATATTTATGTGTACCAGCCTTTGTGTTGTTTTTAGCTCCTGCTCCTCCTCTTCGCCTTGCATGTTTTCAGATGTTTTATTGTTTTTAGTTTTTTTGGGGTTGTTGATTGAAGATGCTCAGGAATCATTTTTTTTTTCTGATGTTGAGGAAGAGAGCATCAAGTAATCACTGGAAGGTGAGTTTCTGTCCACAAGAGAATCAGGTCTGCGTCTTTCAAGGCATCCAGTCCCCTCATGTCCCCCTTGATGGTGGATATATTGCACTATAGGTGGTATGGTCTAACTACACCTAAGGTCCCTTCTGCATGGGATGGACTTTGTTAGCAGTCCTCTTGCTCAGCAATGGATCTGTCCACTGATCCCTTTTGAGCAATCAGATGGCTGGACTGCTTATGCCGAGCAGACATAGACACAGCCCACACTCCTCTGTGGACGGTTGGTTGTAAGCAGAATGTCTTGTCCATTTACTCGCGACTGCCATCCAATCTGCTAGATCAGGGGTGTCAAACTCCATTTTATTGTGGCCCGTATCAGCATTATGGTTGCTCTCAAAGGGCCGGTTGTATCTGTAAGACTAGATGCCCAGAGCACCCCACCACCCGTTACATCAAATGTCAAGAATCCCATGCCCTCCCTAACATCACCGTGGACCTCCTTTGGGGGCAGAGCTGGAAAGCAGAAAGTGCCGGGTCTGAAGGAGGACCAAAGGAAGAGTAGAGTCAGTTGCCAGAGTCTGCTGACTGCGGAGACCAGGGGAAGCAGAGTTGAGGGGGTGCTGCAGCTGCACTGAGAGGTGAAGGATTTGGCAGAGGAGTGCTGCTTTCCACTCTGCTGCCGACTGCTGAGACAAGGGGGTACCTGCAGGAGAGGTGCAAGGGCCACATGAAATTGCTTTGAGGGCTGTATTTAGCCCGGGGGCCTTGTGTTTGACACCTGTGTGCTAGATGGAAGGGGATCGGATCCCCATCCTTCAGTTGGGTCCATTTACACCCATTGCCCATAGCAGACAATGGATTGGTCTGCTCTTGGCAAAAGGGCCTAAACCGGGTGTTTCTTCAGAAGCGAGTCTAGTGCTGGAGGGGCAGTCTGACAGCTCTGAGCTCCAAGATGTTGATGGGGCTAAAAGAGAGAAGACTTGGCAAGCTCAAATACAGAGTCTTCTCCAAAGGCTGGAACAGCTACATAAATGACAGATGAAGGCCAAATTTTGGCAAGGCCAATAGAGAAAAGAGAGGCTCTGAAATCTTTGTTGGGACAAGATGACAAAACGTGCATTCAATGCGACAACTAGATGGTACTGTGAGATGGGACACAAGCCGGGAAAACTTTTGGAGGGAGCGCTGCGGCCCAGGAAACCAACAAACTGCCTAGCCAAAATTAAAGCTAGGAATGGAGAACTGAGACATTCCACCGGAGACATCACACAAATATGTTGTATTACTAAACACTTTATCGTGTGGGAAACGCAAACGTCTTGAAGAGAGTCAATGATGGAAGATAGTATAGGCAGATATCTGAAAGGGGTAACATTTCCTAGGTCATCTGAAGAGGTTATGAATAGTTTAGAGCAGCCTCTCTCAACCAGGGTGCCCAGACACCCTGGGGTGCCTTGAGGTTTCTTCAGGGATGCCTTGACAAAATGTCTAAAAAATTGCCCAAAACTTGTATACAAGCCAGCGGGTGGAACAAGCCAGCCTTTTAGTTACACAAAGCCACAGTTTTCATTGTGCACCATTAGGACCCTCTATCCGCAGGTGACCCAACATTAGAGGTGAATTATTCTTCCAAATCAAATACGCTTTTGCACCCGGGTACTGACTGGTATTCCAGTGTTTCTCCTCTCCCTCAGTTTTCCTCCATCACTGAGCTAATGTGACCCCAGCGCTAACAGATAGGGCCTTATCAACTGATGATGTAATTGGTTGTTGGGTCACCTGCGGCTAGAAGGTCGTAATGGTGCACAATGAAAACTGTGGCTTTGTGTAACTAAAAGGGTATCGCTGTCTTGTATAAAACTATTAGAATCATTTTTTCACATTTTAGAACGGGGCGCCTCGGGACTGTCCGTCATTGTAAAGGGCGCCTCCGGACTGTCCGTCATTGTAAAGGGCGCCTCCGGACTGTCCGTCATTGTAAAGGGCGCCTCCGGACTGTCCGTCATTGTAAAGGGCGCCTCCGGACTGTCCGTCATTGTAAAGGGGCGCCTCCGGACTGTCCGTCATTGTAAAGGGCGCCTCCGGACTGTCCGTCATTGTAAAGGGCGCCTCCGGACTGTCCGTCATTGTAAAGGGCGCCTCCGGACTGTCCGTCATTGTAAAGGGCGCCTCCGGACTGTGTATTAAAAGGGCGCCTCCCGTCATTGTAAAGGGCGCCTCCGGACTGTCCGTCATTGTAAAGGGCGCCTCCGGACTGTCCGTCATTGTAAAGGGCGCCTCCGGACTGTCCGTCATTGTAAAGGGCGCCTCCGGACTGTCCGTCATTGTAAAGGGCGCCTCCGGACTGTCCGTCATTGTAAAGGGCGCCTCCGGACTGTCCGTCATTGTAAAGGGCGCCTCGGGACTGTCCGTCATTGTAAAGGGCGCCTCGGGACTGTCCGTCATTGTAAAGGGCGCCTCGGGACTGTCCGTCATTGTAAAGGGCGCCTCGGGACTGTCCATCATTTTAAAGGGTGCCTTGGGACTGTTGATCATTTTAAAAGGTGCCTCCGGACTGTCCATTATTTTAAAAGGTGCCTTGACTGAAAAAAGGTTGGGAAACACTGGTTTAGAGGAGTTTGCTAAAATAGAAATGGTAGTAGCAATTAGAAGCTCTAAAGTGGGAGAGTCAAGGCCCAGATGGTTACACCTTCTTATGTTACAAGGAATTTGGGGATATCTTGACCCCCTATTCCTAGGTATATAGGAATGGTATTGGGAGGG